TTCCCTTTAAAATCAGGGGTTTTATCCTTTAAAATCAGTGAAATATTTTCCTTTAAAATCAGGGGTTTCTTTCCTTTAAAATCAGTGAAATATTTTCCTTTAAAATCAGGGGTTTTATCCTTTAAAATCAGTGGAATATTTTCCTTTAAAACCAGTTTTGGATCTCAGAGCTTCCCTGTTTTCCCAGCCACCAGGAGCCAAAAATCTGTCCCAAAACCTTGGGGAATCTCCCATCCCTTCCTCAGGGCTCTCCCCACACCTTCCCAGCCTTTTTGCATCTCCCTGCCCAAAAATTGGGGAATTGCTGCTCCCAGAGGGAATTACTGACTTCAAAGGGTTGGGGAAATAAAAACCACTCAGATGCAAAACATGCAAAAAACTATTTTACTGACAAACAGCAAAGGATGGGTTTGGTTCCAGGAGCTGAACTGGTTCTCTATGGTACAAACATCTTGGAAGGGAAGGAATGGCTGAAATACACTCACTTGTTGACCCAAAATAAATCACAGTGTGCTTTTTTTCTATTGCCTCCCCCAGCCCAAGCTCTCTGCACCTTCAGCTGCTCCTCCAGCACAGCCCTGGCTGAAATCTGCCTGTGCAAGTTGTATTTCAATAAAAATAAAAATAAAAATTGGCCATTATTGCTTTTCAACCACAGTAGGGATGGTTCTGTGATGGAGCCAGAGCAGAGCTGGGTCTGTGGTGCAGTCTGGGCTGTGCCTCTCCCTGCCTGGTGCATGCAGGAAAAAGGAAAAAAGGGAAAATAAGGATGGAGATGGGGGCAGGCAGCACTGCAGGCTCGGTGCTGCTGCTCCAGGAGGGGAAATCCTCCCAGGGAGAGCAGGAGGGGCTGGGAGCCCCCGGGAACAGGAATGGGGGAGCCACAGCGGGGACAGGGCCATGCAGGGCACGGAGGGACACACAGACAGAGCTCAGGACACACGGACACACAGCAGGGCCCGCAGCCCAGCCGGGGCGGGCAGCTCCTGCTGGCGCTGCCACATCTGCCCTCTGCTCCTCCTCCTCTCCTCTTCTTCCTCACTTCTTCCTCTCCTCCTCTTCCTCTCCTCTGCTTCCCTTTCCTCTTCTTCCTCTCCTTTTACTTCATCTCCTCTCCTTCCTCTCCTTCCTCTCCTACTCTTCCTCTCCTCTGCTTCCTCTCCTTTACTTCATCTCCTCTCCTTCCCTTTCCTCTTCTTCCTCTCCTTTACTTCATCTCCTCTCCTTCCCTTTCCTCTTCTTCCTCTCCTTTACTTCATCTCCTCTCCTTCCCTTTCCTCTTCTTCCTCTTTTACTTCATCTCCTCTCCTTCCTCTCCTCTGCCCTCTCCTCTTCTTCCTCTCCTTTACTTCATCTCCTCTTCTTTCTCTCTTCTTCCTCTCCTCTTCTTCCTCTCCTTTAATTCCTCTCCTTCCTCTCCTCTGCTTCCTTCTCCTTCCTCCTCTTCTCCTCTTCTCCTCTGCTTCCCTCTCTGCTTCCTCTCCTGTCCTTCTTCTCTTCTTCCTCTCCTTCCTCTCCTCTTCTTCCTTCCCTTTACTTCATCTCTGCTTCCTCTCCTCTGCTTCCTCTTCCTCTCTTCCCTTCTCTGCACCCTTCTCCTCTTCTTCCTCTCCTCTTCTTCCCCTCCTTTAATTCTTCTCCTTCCTCTCTTCTTCTTCTCCTCTGCTTCCCTCTGTTTCCCTCTCTGCTTCTCTCTCCTCTTCTTCCTCTCCTCCCTTCTCTGCACCCTTCTCCTCTTCTTCCTCTCATCTTCCTCTCCTCCCTCTCCTCTCCTCTTCTTCCCCTCCTTTAATTCCTCTCCTCCCTCTCTTCTTCTTCTCCTCTGCTTCCCTGTTTCCCTCTCTGCTTCTCTCTCCTCTTCTTCCTCACCTTTGCTTCCTCTCCTCTTCCTCCCCTCTCCTTCCTTCTCTGCTTCCTTCTCCTCNCAGCACCGGCAGAAGATGGAGTGGCTGCAGACAGAAGGTGCAGAAGCAAACAGAGAGACTGCCAGGAACCCCCTGCTGCCCTTCCACCAAGGGACACCGGTGTGAGGAGCCTGCAGGATTCACCTGAGCACAGAGAAAAAGGCAAAGGTTTGGTGGGGCGGCCGTGGAGAGCAGCCCGTGGTGCCAGGGAGGGGCTGCCCTGGGTCTCCAGTGCAAGAGCAGAAAAACAAAATGGGTTCAAAAGGAAGAAATAACTGGATTTATTAAAGGAACCCTTGGTGAAACACCACTGGCTGTGTTGGTGTGTGTGGCCTGACCCCAAATCCTTCTGAGGTGTTTCTGCACCTGTGGGAACCCGGGGATTGTCCAAGCCTGACATTTACATCCCATACATTTAACTTTGTAGGATTTGTTCTCCAGCAGAGCCATTTCTCACCCTTTTATCCCCAAATCCTTCTGAGGTGTTTCTGCACTGTCCCAGCACCTGTGGGATTGTCCAAGCCTGACCTCCCATACATTTAAATCTGTAGGGTTTGTGTTCCAGCAGAGCCATTTCTCACCCTTTTATCCCCAAATCCTGCCCATGACACAGCTCCTTCCTCACTTGAGTTACCCTTCAAGATTAAATTTTTCTTAGAAATGTGGATCTGGGGGGATTCACTGTTTAACACAAGTGATCTGAGAGCAGCCCCACATATTTTTTCCCCCAAGTAAATCAGTTTTCTCCATGAAGAGCTGAGTTTGGGGCACACAGATGCAGCATGGCCTGAAGAGAGACATGAGTGGAGCTTGTTTGCTCCCACTGCTCTTGCCACACAAATTTTCTGCTGCATTTCTGCACCAGCTGGGAGAACGTGCCATTGTCAGGGCCTGAACACGAGCCTGCCTTGATGAGATGACATTTGTTCTTCTGTGCATATGAGAGACAGGTTAGAAAACCTCCTGATTTTTTTTTCTCTGTGTTTGAACTGGATCTGAACTCTGTGCTCTGCTCTGAGGTCTCTTGTGTAGCTACACAGCCCCAGCACGGTGGCCTGACCTAAATCTGTGCCCTTGCTGAGCTCTGCTCACACAGGAGCTGCCACCAGCTCCACTTTGGCCGTGCTGAGCTGTTCCTGGCCCTTCTCCTGAAATTCCTCTGATTTTCCTGCTTTTCCTGCCCTTCCAGGCATTGGGCTTGAGAGGCTCGGGCACCCAGAATTGAACAGTATTGAAATATTTTCCTTTAAAATCGGCGGTTTTTTTCCTTTAAAATCAGTGAAATATTTTCCTTTAAAACTAGGGGGTTTTTTCCTTTAAAATCAGTGAAATATTTTCCTTTAAAATCAGGGGGTTTATCCTTTAAAATCAGTGAAATATTTCCCTTTAAAATCAGGGGTTTCTTTCCTTTAAAATCAGTGAAATATTTCCCTTTAAAATCAGGGGGTTTTTTCCTTTAAAATCAGTGAAATATTTCCCTTTAAAATCAGGGGCTTTTTTTCCTTTAAAATCAGTGAAATATTTCCCTTTAAAATCAGGGGTTTTNTGAGCAGCCAAGGGATCTGTGTGCATAAAAGGGATTGTGTGTGAAACCAAGGGATCTGTGTACAGCCAAGGGATTTGTGTGAAACCAAAGGGATCTGTGTGCAGCCAAGGGATCTGTTTTCAGCCCAGCTCCCTCATTCCCCGAGCTGCTCACGGGAGCCCTTGCCGAGGGAGGAACCAGATTTAGAACTCTGCAGCTCGGGGGCTGCTCTGTTACCGTGGAGATGGGTGCAGCTGACAGCACCAGCATCCAGCACCAGCATCCCTGCCCTGTGTGCTGTGCTGGCATCTCAGGGAGCCCAGGCTGTGCTGGGTGTGCCCTGCATGAGGGACAGTCCCTCTGCTGCCCCACAGTGTTTCCCTGGGGGACAGAGGTGGCAGGAGCTGCCCCAAGGAGTGTGCTCACCTCTGTGCTGCCCCTGCCAGCAGAACTGGCCTGGGCAGCTGGGCTTTGTACAGGTGGGAGCTGCCACAGCACTGAGGTGATGCAGGGGAGGTTCCTGAGGGAGGAAAGCAGGGTAAGGCACATTAAACATCATTTTAGAGGCACATTAAACATCATTTTAAAGGCACCACGTTGCCCATGTGCCCCCTGGCACTGCTGTTTGTTCTGCTGTGCAAGTGTTGGAACAATTTTATTTAGCTTTGGATGGAGTGGTTCCATCACCCTCCTGCACCCACCTCTCTCCACTTTATTGGCTTCACACTTGCAGCTCTTTTAGAGGAGAGGAAATTTTAAAAAGCCAAATGTTGGGTCTTCTCAAAACAAGGCTTCACATGTGCAGCTCTTTTAGGGCAGAAGAAATTTAAAGGAGACAAATGTGGGGTATTTTCTTCTCAAAACAAGGCTTTACACTTGCAACTCTTCTAGAGCAGGAGGGGGGATTTTAAAAAGCCAAATGTGGGGGTCTTCTGAAAACAAAGCTTCACAAGTGCATCTCTTAGAGCAGAAGAAATTTAAAGGAACCAAGTGTGGGATCTTCTGTAAACAGGCTTCACATGTGCAGGTGTTTTAGAGCAGGAGAGGGAAATTTAAGAAGCCAAATAATGGGTTTCTCTTCTCAAAACAAGGCTTCATGTGTGCAGCTCTTCTAGACCAGGAGAGGAAATTTTAAGAAGCCAGATGTTGGGTCTTTTCTTCTCAAAACAAGGCTTCACATGTACAGCTCTTTTAGGGCAGGAGAGGGAATTTAAAAAAGCCAATTGTGGTGTCTTTTCTTCTCAAAACCAGGCTTTATATGTGCAGCTCTTCTAAACCAGGAGAGGAAATTTTAAGAAGCCAAATGTTGAGGTCTTTTCTTCTCCAAACAAGGCTTCACATGTACAGCTCTTTTACAGCAAGAGAGGAAATTTAAAGGATCCTGATGTGGGTTCTTTCTTCTCAAAACCAGGCCTCTGTACAGCTCTTTTAGAGCAGGAGAGGAAATTTAAAGAAGCCAAATGTGGGGTTTTTCAGTCTCCAAACAAGGTTTTGATTCCCAGGAATCCAGAATTGGGCAGAGCTCATTGTGGATCCCTGCTCACCACAAGGAACCAGAGCGCTGTGGTGAAAATCCCCCATGGGGAAGGGCACAGCAGGCAGGCAGCAGCCTGAGCTGTCCCTGCTGATGGCAGAGGCCATCCCTGAGGTGTCTGAGGTGTCCCTGTCCCCACAGGCCATCCCTGAGGTGTCCCTGTCCCCACAGGCCATCCCTGAGGTGTCTGAGGTGTCCCTGTCCCCACAGGCCATCCCTGAGGTGTCTGAGG